ACATTATTATCATTATCATCATATAATCGTTTGCTGCTGTTTCCATGAATCATCACTAAACTCTATATCAAATATCTACCGGAACTCGATAATTACATACTTGATACAGGTCCAGTACCCGTCCTTACCGCTAAGTTTCCACAATAAAAAATAATACGAAAAAGTCTAGGGACGACTCACTCCCCCTCATCCACCTTACCAAATTTTAGACCCGCCCTGAGGAAGGAAATCTCTTTCCAAACTTTTTCGCTGTGTCAGCAGATTGACTCAGGATACCTGGGAGGAGGCATGCGGGTGGAGGACGAGAGGTGGTGGTGGCGAGCGGCGGCGACAACGGGACGCTACGAACGGTAGCTAGGAGAAGCTGAAGGATTGTCATGGGAGCATATGATCGTTACAGAGGGTCGTTATGTACGATATGTTTAATGGGCATTAGACTTTCGTAAGGCAGTCACTAATAAGATAGCCAACATATTGACAAGCATAAATTCCTATATTATCTCTAAACTGCATAATTCCTTAACCATAAAACAGATGTTCCTTTAATTTTAATTTCTAAACGAGGAATTGCCTAACACAGAAGCCCCCTGAGATACAATCGAAACCTCTCAGTCAGAGTATTACAGACCGTAAGATACAGGATTACGTCATTCTATTCCACACAAATTCCTCTGTAGTACATCACCTCTTGAATTTATTAACAACAATAATAAGCGTTGTTGTTTATTTAATGTGGAATGTCTGGCATAAATATAAACTAAGTGCTATAGAAAAGAGATTCAGTCCCTTAATACTAGACGTTTAAGCTGAACAAATATAGATTGAGACCTATACATGGCTCAGGTCATACGAGGGGCACCACGTGAAGAAGTTTAGACGGCTTCCCAGCTCTGCCGGGGCTTACATGCTGTGTGGCTCACGTGCTGCTAGCTGTTACCTGACACTGACACCACGAGTAACCATCGTTGAGTGGCACCTGGCACCACGTGTGGTCATGGCTGAGTGGCAATTGGCACCTCGGGTAACCATAGCTGATTGGCACCTGACACCTCGGGTAGCCATGGCGGAGTGGCACCTGACACCTAGTATGCGGGCATCCACAATCGGGTGGTTATGACACTTGTCACCAAAGGTAGCCAAAGCTAGGTGGCAGCTGACACCTGGCAACACGGGTATAGGCATGGATGGTCTGCACTATGAGGAACTTGAAAGCAGGTGACGAAATTTACTTTAGAATCAGTGTTAAGTATCATGTTGAGGTAGTGAAAGATTTTCAAAGCAGTGAACTCTAGCAATGAAAACGGCACTGGGCGGTAGTGAACGATATACGCAGGCAGTGCACGGCAAAGAGCGTCCGTAATGGCCAGGGAGTAGAATGAATGGTAATTTCCGGTGGGAGAGAAAGAGCACTGTGTAGCAAGGTGTAGCCGTGGGCGTCAATGTGGGGGCCGGGAAGGGCGGAGTGAAGGAGGGGCAGTCAGACCTAGGCGGCCTTAGTACACGGGGAGTGGGTGGACACGTGTGAGGGGAAGCCCCATACACTAGCGGATTGTGAGGGGAGGAGTGGACTTAAAGGGGGATTGGGTCTCTTTGATGCCCGGGGTTTAGAGTGAGGCAGCGACACTGTTGGCACACTCGAGCTTCCTAACCCAGCCAGTGTATATATACATATGTGTGTGTGTGTATTTACGTACATGAATGACTTATAGTACTGAAAAGGTGTTGAGGTATGTGTGTTATAACAGGTGGGGTGTAGACTGTGTAATATGAGATGCATAGTATCGTTTTCAGGGTATTTTTTCACTGATGTTTTAAAGACATTATGAAATTTGCTCTATTTTCACTTTTGGAAAAGTTATAAATAGAAAATAAATCGTAAGTTTCTTCGTGGGGGAGACTGTGAAGAATCGAGGCGCAGTGACAGGAATTTCAATTTTTCTCCCCGGTAACCTAGCGTCTCTCTCTCTCTCTTTAAACGACCAGTAACCAGATCACTCCCTGAAGTGCATTAGATTCGAGACACTGTAATGTTAGACCCAATAACATTAATGCACTCTTGAAGTTAGACTAACACCTTTACCTCGACTCCACCAGCCACCAAGTCACAGCTAAAATATTTGATTCACCTGAAAATTAACCCACAAGTTTAATTTCACCTGAAGATTAACCACTCGAACGCTAATCTATTCTAACCAAATAACACAAAATAAACCATAAACCTAACCTAATGTAGTCTAATGCAAACCTACCCTAACCTAACCTGATCTCACCTGACCTGATATAACCTAACCTAACCTAACCTAACCTAACCTAATGTAGTCTAATGCAAACCTACCCTAACCTAACCTGATCTCACCTGACCTGATATAACCTAACAAACCAAATAAATATAACCCAATAAAAACCAAACAAGGAAAAGATGAACATAACCTAACCTAACCTAACCTAACCCCCAGGTACTGTAGTCTAAAAGTGTTTAATCATCAGGTGAAATAAGCTGGCGTCTAATATTCAGGTGATCTCCAAAAAATCAAATAACTCACATCTTAGAAAGTTACCAACAAAGTGAATTTTCACGTAACATCAAGATACCATGACTTAGAATTGACATACCATGATGTTCACTACTGTAAGAAATGTAAAAAAAAAATGTAGATTTCTATCAATAATTTTATTAAAAAGAAAATCCTCAATGTGTTTCAAAATAATCGTCAATGACTAATTTTCTAACTTGTATATTCCAAAACCTGTAGAGACTCATATTCTAAAGGGTACTGTATAAAAATTATCCCAAGAGGCTTGTTTTCTAGTCTCGGTTTCCTGAACATGTAAAATACGTCATTATCATACATTATTATCTCAAGAACATGTAAAAAGAGTCATTTTCTAAAGAAGAGTCATTTTCTACCCTCAATGGCTCACGAACATGAAAAATACGTCCCTATTATCCATTACGATCTCTAAAACATGTAAAAACTCATTTTCTCAAGTCAACGGCTCCAGAACACGTCAAAAGAGGATCATTTTCCTTCCTCATCATCTCGAGAAAATCTAAAACCACCACGTTGGCGTTCAGTAATGTGTGGGAATATCTGGCGCCCCTCCGGGAGTCAGCGTTCCCTATATGACTAATAGTATTCCTACACAGCGCTATTGACTAAAACATCAGCGTACGTCATCCTGTCGGGAGGAGCGCGCATCTCGCCCCTCCTGCTGACTACCGCTCATTTTCATCTGTCGAAAATTTGTGTGGCGCGGATGTTGAGTTTGATTATGTATTCACGTCCTGAAGACTCCGTGAGATAAGGCGGTGCTGAGACACGCAGGCACGGAGAGACAGAGACAAAGGAAGTTTATTTAGTGCATTGATTCTATTGGGTAATTAATCTCTTCTATAGTTATTGAAATTATCTGTGTCGTATCTGACCTTACGGCAGAGGTGTTGTTCTAAAACTGTAGCGATTCTCTATAACAATAATATTTGTCTTCGTCACCTGAATAGAACGAAGGAGACAAATTAATCCCAAGTTGCTTAATGAGATCCAAAACGATCAAATCAGATGTGTTTGTGCATAGAAAACGAAGACGAGTAATCCCAAGTCCCTAAGTGACGGAACACAAACACATCTGTGGAGTTTATGTAGACGAGAGACACAATACGATCAAATCAGGTTTAGGGTAACATAACACACAAACACCCACCCTACACTCACGCAGAGGTGTTTGTGCAAAATAAAACGAAGATAAATAAACGTACAGTCTCTCCAGGGAAAATAACACAATCAAATATCTAAATCGTTGTTGTGATGCCAAAGAGAAATAAATCCGTCAAAAAGCGTGAGGGCGGCGTAAGCCAATCAAGAGCGAGCGAGGGCCAGGTCGGGCTGCCCGGGGTAAGTCGCTCCATGAGGGCTGGTATTGATCACTACAACTACGCTCTCCCTGCAACCATATTGATCACTGCCACGTTGCCACGGAAACCACCAGCCCCGGCTCCGCTTTGCAAAATTCTCATAGATACTATCGCTGCGCTTCTGCCCACGCCAGCAATTGTTGGGAGAAGGGGAGGGGGGAGATAACTAGTGGAGATATGTAATACAATCGCTGGAGATATCGCTGCTATGCTCTACGTATTTTGGCTGGAGGGAAGTTTCCAGGGACATTTCGGGTGGTGGGTGGTACGGGGTGGGTGGTAGAGGTGGGTGGTAGGGGTGGGTAGTAAGGGGTGGGTGGTAGGGTGGTGGGTGGGTGGTAGGGGTGGGGGTAAGGGGTGGGTGGTGGGTTGTTGGTAGAAGGAGGTAGGTGGTGGTGGAGTGGTGGTAAAGGTTTGTAGTGGTTGTTGTGGTGTAAGCTGGTGGTGGTGGTGGTGGATGTTTGAGGTGAAGGAGGTGGTGATGAAGGTGGTGTTGATGTAGGGTCGTGGTCGTGGTGTAAAGGGGTGTAGTGTTGTAGGGTGTTGGTGGTGATATAGGGTGGTGGTCGCGGGGGGGGGTCGTGGGAGAAAGATAGGGAGTGTGGGAGACTCGGTGAAGGACGCTACTTGGTGAGAGAACCTTGCCTGGAATGTCTCTCTCATATGTTTTGGCATTTATGTCCATTTTTCCACAGGTGTTCCATTATTAATTTTATCAACCAAAGGTCTTTTATGCTATTAATTAAATCAATTATCATATATGTAAGCCAATTAATAAAGAAAATATATAAAATCATTATAAATACTTACAATATATTCACGAGTAGATAAATAAATGGATAGATAGATATATCACAATAAAACATACAGAAGTATAAATACAACTCATATATCCGCATCAACACCTTTTAAACTTCTACACCCGCATTCAAACACTCTCATCCACACACTTTACTTCCATTATCCTCATTACGACACACACACACACACAAACACACGGACAGTGGAGAGGAAACAGAGTGGTGTAAGGCAGCGTTGGTTACGAGCTGTGTATTGATCCAGTTTTTTTTCTCTCTTCGCCTTTCAGAGTGGGGAATCTACTCCGGGACCGTCAGGGGAAAGCCAAGGGAAAGGTGAGTTGTCCTGCCTGTTTGTCCTACTGTGTGTGTGTGGGAGGGGGGGAGGGGGAGGTGGGGGGAGATAGGAGGAGGGAGACGGGGGGAGAGGTGTGCGTACGTGCGTGTGTGCGAGTTAGCAAAAGAATGGAGGAAGAAAAAAAGAGAGCAGAAGATGACGTGGGAAAAGAATATAGAGAAGAGAAGAAGAGAGAAAGGGAAAGAGGAGGAGAAGAAGAGGTGGGTGAAGAATACAAGGAAAATAAATAGAGAAGGAAGAGTAAGAGGAAATAGGAAATCGAAAACATAAGAAGGATAGAAGGAAAGGAATTGATAAAGTTGATGAATTGAAAAAAGTGAATAGAGACAAACAAAGGAACATGAGAACAGTAATTAAAGTAAAATAAATGAGGAGTTTTGGATTAGAATGAAGGAGAATGAAAGGAAGAGAGATGATGGGTAATGGAGAGGGAAAGAGAGAATGGACAAAGAAGGAATAATGGGTACATCTGAGAGGAAGGGAAGAGCAATAAAAGACTAGTAACTGAGTAATGAGTAAAGATATGAAGACAGGAAGGAAAGATGGAAGGGAAATGTGTATAGGGTAGGTGCATGCGCGCGCGCGCGCGTGCGCGTGTGTGTGTGTGTGTGTGTGTGTGTGTGTGTGTGTGTGTATAATCATCCAAGCAGTAATATAAGTCATTTTTCTAGCTACTAATATATTGCTATTGATTATAAAAACACCCCCAAATTTTCCCAAAATCAAGATATATTTCCAGCTTTCCCCAAAATCGTAGTGAGTAAACACACGGTGAATAAATAAATATGTTTTATCAATCACCTCGCAACTATCGATCCCCGTAATTATAGTTGTCTCGTTTTCTGACGTGGAATAAAACAGCTATCCGGCACAGTCTCCCCTTCGGTATTAATTTCCCGTTTTCTATCATTGCAGAGGTGACGAGGTTGCCGCAAGATGAACAGGAAAATACCAGGGAGTCGCCAGGTTCAGGTGAGTGACGTCATCCAGGTATCACAAGTCACACCAGGTTATTCCAACGGAGGTAAATCCCGGGTTCACTCAAGCTCAAAGAAGCAAAATAAAAATTCTTATCGGGATTACATTCTTTTCGATCTAGATATTTTTTTCTTCAAATTACCTTTTCATGTTATTCAGGTTGTTATGCTTCTCGATGGAGTTCAGGATGAGAGCTTCTTCACTACAACTGGGGTATATTTCCCTGGATAACTCTGGTTGACATATATTGAGATTATTGCTTACATTTGACTATATAAATATACAACTTGGGATACATCCTCTTTCCAGTGTATCGAGATTATTGACACATACTATTTATTAATTCACGTGGATATATGATTCATTGATGATTATAAAGTCTTATTTTCCCACCATGATATTAACCTTATACAGATATACCCATACTTATATATTCCCTGTATATCCATAACAAGTGCTGCTATAAAGCCAGTCCTGTACTTGAAACTTGTATAAATAGCACAAAATATGTTCCTGTGAAGTCGTATATGTCTTTTGTCTGTCTGTCAGTCATAAGCCATAGACATGTCATCCTAGTTTAGACATCATTAGCACCAGTCTCTATAGATTCATTTACAAGCTTCATATGTAACAAGAACTCGTTCAGTATCCAGTCGGATCAGGATCATATTGCTGTAATGGCGGTTAATTTTGTTTATATCCAATATTTTGTTAGTTCATTAACATTCTGTTTTGTTTAAAGAAGTATTGAGAGGTAATCTGTAGCCCTGATCCGACGGAACCGCGAGTAACCTTGACTAAAACTGTATGTACTGACACTTGTTTACATTCTTCATCCGGGTCTTGGCGAGGGATACTAACCTAGACTCTTTTCATTACTAACAACAAGTGTGTTTTCTTTCTCAGCAAATTATTCTCACCCTTGTAAACCAGTTATAAAATAAAAAATATTAGTTTACTTTTCTCTAGAATAAAACTAAATATAATACGGAGAACAGTCACTGGAATAAATTTTGGAAAGAAAACACACAGACGCTCCTTCTAACATGAATGTTGGAGACGTCGGGAGGCTGTGGGAGAAGATGGGTCTTGCTTAAGTATTACTTAAGGGTGAAGGTCGTATATTCTGGCACTGGTAGAGGGTTACGCTTGTTCTAATCTCTTTCCTTTCCTACTTACTCGTTTTAAGAATACATATATGATATGCATATTCCCAAAAGCCGTGAGTTAAGGAGACATCCAACACACAGTTAGAAATTGGAAATATATATTTTCTTCCATGAAACGTACAGTACGTTGAAGTTAAAAATATATTATAATGAAATAATAATAATTCGTAAAGAACGCTAGGTAAACCAAACGATAATCTCCGAAGTTAACGCTAAATTATTCTTAAATGTCTTCACAAGCAAGAAACTAAACATAAGGAAGAAAAATATAATGACAATGGATAA